GTTTTAGAAGTGGTTTCAGTAGTTTTATTAGGTGTGGTTTGATCTTCTAAGGCATAAACTAACCCTAAAACAGTTAACCAATATTTAAGTTGTCTTTGCCACCTCTTAAAGTTTGTCCTATTAAATTTTCCAGGTTTAATGCTATTGGTCTCTACACTATCCATCTCAATTCCAATAAACAATAATGAAGCAACAAATCTGAAATTTAAATGTAATGCAAATTTAATAATATTAATGCAAATAGTTACTAATACAAATACGTTATTGTAGAAAATTAATTGGGAGTTTAATATTATCGTTATTGTTATTAGGTTATTGAGGTAACTATTGAGAATTAAAGCAAATAGTTATTAATGCAAAACAATTCCAAGTACTGTTACGTTTTCTAAAGGTAACTTTATTATTAACGTTTTAACAAATATGTTATTAGTGTTATTAGGATATTTAAGGATTTGACAGATATGTTATTTAAGTTTTCAGATTTTGTTGCAAAAGAAACTATATATATATATATATATATATATATTTATTTATTTATTTTAAACGTACCAAATTTATGACAGGATATTTCACTTCAATTTTGTCTTAAAACAACGGTTACAAAATCTGGTGTACTTAATTAACTTTTAAAACTGACTTGATTAAGATTTTGAAATTTGTTTTAAACACCAAACGGCACACCAATGTAACTATGTCTTAAATGGATTTTGTAATTAAATTTTTTATTCTCTTCCAAAACAGACTAACTTGGAATAGTGTAAAATTGTAAGAAAAAAGAATTTGTTTAAAGTTGGACTTTAAAGTGTGGCAAGCAATAATTAACAAAAACGCAGGCAATAAAACTGAATCAATACTGAATCAATTTAGACAAACTTTCCCTCTTTATTTATTTATTTAAAAATATAAAAGTTTTAGAGTTGGAATTTAAATTTGTAAACGTGTAGACTTAAAAGGCACAGTCTATAAGCTATAATAAAAGATAGAATGAGTATCAACCAATTTAAAGAAACATTTCACCTTTTCAGTTTTTTAATTTTAAAAAAATCGTGTACGTTTTATAAACAACAAACGTGTGGCTGCTTTGATTTAGAATGTGTATATGTTCCCCTTTTATTTTATTATTATTATTTTTGAATTTTATAAGAAGGAAAAATAAATTGAAACTTAAAGCAACAAAAAATACGGTAAGAATAATTTTAACCTACAAAGGCTTTAGAATATTATTAAAAAATGTGTTTTCCTTTTTCTATAAAATTCGTATTCAAATACTTAGATATAAATAATGTATAAAAAAAAGCTTAAATAGTAAAGTAAAATAAAGAGACAAATAAATAAATAAATAAATAAATAAAATAAGTTAAGATTAAGAAAGCAAGCATGGTATAGTGAAAGCACGTCAAAGACGCTGTCCTAAAGCCTTTTTAGCCTCCCTACGTGCAGGTAATGACAGTCTACAAGACTCCAAGATATGACCCCAATACGCAAGCTTAAGGTCCGCTATGAGCACGTTCACAGTCGGATAGAAATTTCCAAGCCACAGAACCGTTACCCAAAAATAATGTGGAAGGTGATAGTATGAGAATAGAGAAATCTGATTGTGGTGTGTTGAAATGTGAAGGAGGAGTGGCCTTTTATAGGCATCCAACACTCGTAACCTCCAGACACATTTAATCAGAAAAATTAAGGTAATGAATAGAAAATAAAAACTGAAAATTAAACAATGTGTAGCTCCCATAATAAATAAAAGAAAACAGCCAAAAAATTTAAAACAGAAAATAAAATGTTAAAATTTAAAATCCTTTCAAATAATAACACTCCCAACTTGCATACCATGGATTAGTATTGGCAATCAATTTCAATATGTCTAGTTCTTTAATGGAAAACTGGGCTAGCTGCTATACGTAATGTCGATGGAGTATCGAAATCCAATGTAGCTAGCCCTGTGTTTGGAATATGCAAATCTTGGAATAAATATCGTAACCAAGAAAGTTCACAACATGCATTTGTCATTACTCTTTATCCTCCATGAAACCAATGAATCACCAAGGAACACGTAGTAACCAGTGGTTGTTTTTTGTTTGTGCAAATAATCTATCAGGAGAATATTCGCTTCTTGATCTTTCGCCCTTTGAACTTCTTTCTCTCTCCTCATCGATTTCTGTAAAAAAGACCGGAGTAAATAGACCACACCAGGGGGTATTGGCTAAAGGCCCTTCGATGCCTAAGTTCAATTGAATGTAGGTGAAACAATAGCCAAAAAAGGGTACGAATCTTTCTCTAAGGTGAGAACCGGGTGGCCGGAGCCGTGTGGAGAGACAAATATGGAGAGATTAGAGCAACATGGCCGGCGATAATGGAGTTGCCGTCGGCTAGGAGAGAGAGGGGAGATAGATCTCGAGTATTTTTGCAGGGTTTCAGAGCTAGGTTTAGAAGTACCTTGCATGAGGAATGAAGCCATCTATTTATAGGAGCCTCGGAGGCTAGGATTTCGCAGAGAATAAAGCTCTTATTGGGAAGGAGTTTATTCTTTCCCCAAATTGCAAAGAATTGAGTCTATTAGGGATTTGATTGGGATCAAATGTCCTAATTTGATGATGATTATATCTCCTTAGTAGGATAATATCTAAATTAATGGTATTATCTTATGAAATAAAGATAATATCACATAATTAAGATGTTATCACAATTTTTAGTATTAATTAATTGGCTAAATAAATGGGCTCAATTAATTAATTTAAGGGATATTCTTATTTTCCACGTGGCGTCTTGCGATTGGAGACGAAAATATTTGCTCCCACAAATGCCTCCTAGCTTCTGTATGGCGCTTGTATGGAGGATATGTAGTAACCAATGGTTGTCCTTCTAGTTGTTGGAACCTCCCCAATCTGAGTTACAATATGCTCTTAACTTTATATCATTGTGAGCTGAAAAGAAAATTCATTGTCCTGGAATATTTTTCAAGTATCTCAAGACCCGAATGGGTCTAGATGTGGCTTATTAGGTTCGTGCATAAACCTACTTAGTATACGAACTAAGTATGTGATATTAGGCCCTGTGATTGTGAGATAAACAAGTTGCCCCACTAATTAGCTGTATTTGGATGGATCATGGATTAATTCTCCTATATTAGATGTGAGTTTAATGTTTTGCCCCATAGGAAAAGTAACAAGTTGTGTTCCCAAAATTCTCATATCTTTGAGGATATCTGTGAGACCCTGGAAATTTTATGGTGCTTAGAAAATATTTTATAGGATTTGTGGAGAATTCTTATAGGAATTTTGAGAAATTTTTAGTTTTGAGGTGGTATTTACTTAAGTAATTTTATTATTATAATTGAGTATAGAGATCAATTTGCAAGTATAATTATGCATGTTGGAAGGAATATTTCAAAAGGAGTGAACAAGCAAACCGTAACTACTCTATCTTTTTGCGAGTCCCAAAGAAAAACTCTATAGATGAGGGAGGAGGAAGAAGCATCATTGCCCCTCCTCCCCTCCTCCCCTCCTCTCTCCTTGCTTTTTCTTTTGGGTTAGTGAATAAGTCCACTGGGCATTTTGAATAAGAAGCCCTTTGTAGTGATTTCTTTTGAGATATGGTTAGATTGAAGTTCCCAAAATCCGCTTTCTTCAGAAGAGGCGGATTATCAAGTAATGACAAATGCATGTTGTGAACTTTCTTGGTTACGATATTTGTTCCAAGATTTGCATATTCCAAACACTGGGCTAGCTACATTGGATTTCGAAAATCAATCGACATTACATATAGCAGCTAACCCAGTTTTCCATTAAAGAACTAGACATATTGAAATTGATTGCCAATACTCATCCATGGTATGCAAGTTGGGAGTTCTTGGCATCCACTCTCCAACTTGAGGGGAATGTTAAGACATCAATTAAATCCCTACAGTTTAGGTACTGAATTATAGGAGCTGTTGTATAAATTATCATTTATTTATTTAGTTGTACAACTAGATTGTAAGGTGGATTGCTTAATCGTACAATGACTGATGTATATCTTCATAGACAACATATAATGTAAAGCAATTTAGTGGAATAAGAAATTCATTCCAATTTTACAAAGAGGAAGGAAATCGGCATTTCTAACTTTTTTTTAGCGACCGGGATGATATAAATGAAATATTTGTATTTAGGAGTCTAAAGTATAAGTTTAGGATCTTTTATATTAGAAATGGTCTTAATAAACTAGTCTTTAGTCCAAAAAAAAACCTTAAATCAGTCTCACAACTGATTTTAGTGGATCTACTTTTATTATGCTTGGGGTCAAGTGGGGATTAGGAGATGCTGTGATATTCTTTGGAATGTCCTGGTGGAAGTTGAGCGGTTATGCGTCCTCCACTCTTGGGGTATTTCCTGTCCCATGAAGTTAGAGAGATTGTTCTCTGTCTTAATCTTCTTAAAGCATTGGTTGTTGCAGGGATTTGGGTCCTCCTCATTTGTAATTCCTTGTTAGGTAGGTTTCAAGTTGTATATTTGTTTTCTAACTACCTTGTAATACTTGTGCTTAGTTGGCTATGTTGTTTTAGTCGTTGTGTTGCAAGAACTTCCTTTTGAGGCTGTGTCCTTACTGTTGTATCCTGAATTTGTGCCATATTTTTCAAGGGAATCTGTATTGTTTCAAAAAAAAAAAAAGAAAAAAAAAAAAGAAACTAGTCTTCAGATGTTGACCAAAGAACAAATAAACTAGTCTGCTGTTGTTGAACAAAAAACAAATAAATCAGTCTCACAACTGCCACGAGTGTAGAGCTATCAACCGGTGGATGTACATTTCAAATCTCTTTACACAGACAGGGCCCGTGAACAAGTGAAAGTAACGCAACTCTTCAGAATTCAGATTATTAGGGGGCCTCTAGATCCTCTCCCATTGCCAGCTTGGCAGCTTGGACTGTTCCCATTGGTCCAAATTCTCCACTGGGGACTTGATCTTGACTGCACACGACCACACCCTCCCCCTCCCCCTCCTCTCCTCCCCTCTCCTTCTTCAACTTCAAGTAGGTGAAAAGCAAACACATTCTCTCATTATTCATTACCTATAAAAAATAAATACTGCTAAAGCCACTGCTGTACTCTACTACCTAATCTAATTGATTAAAAATTAAAACTTCAAAAAACACAAAAAACAGAAAAGCAAAGCAATTCCAACAAATATAGAGATTTAAAGCTCACCTTTTTTGCTTGCTTTGCTTCCTTCACATTCTTCTTTGACATCCATAACCAGACACACCAGTAATTCTGGTTGTTGCTTCTTTTAACTCTCCACCCAACTCTTCAAATCCAAAACCCTAGAAAACCCATTCTTCTTCTTGAAGCCCCTCTCTTTTTCTCTCTCTCCCTCTCCCCTTTGTGCTGGGTTTTCAGATCGTGCTGCTGAAATCTCAGCTCGCTCGCCGATCTGCTCCGTCTCCGCCGAGTCTGTTAAATGGGCGGCTCCGACGATTCGCGTCGCTGAAATGTTGGCTGTTGCTGACTGCGATTTCGATGCTCGTCGGCCAAAATGTCGGCCTCTTTAGCTGCTTTTGAGCGCCCAAGACCTGGAGGTTCTAATACGGTACGGTTTTTGCTCCTCTGGTTTGCTTGGTTATTGGGAAAACGAGTTGAACTGGATGCAAAGTTGTGGAATTTTTGTTTTGTTTTGTTTTCTATTGTTAAAAATTTAATTTGGTTGGCTTCTGTGGGACTAAAGGGAATGCTAAGTTTCTTGATGTTGGTTCCGTTTAAATCCCAGATGGTGTAATGTCCGAAATGTTATGAAATTTGTTAACTTTATTGATTTGTTTCCCTTTTCGGTTCTGATTGCTGAGGGAAGTGTAAAAAGGAAAATGAAAGGTAATAGAAATTCAAAGCATGGTTCCCCTACTTATCTGTACCAACTTCACTTGTTGAAATGATTGAAGTTGCATTAGGCTGAGTATGTTCAAGTAATGTTGACACGGATTTGTAATGTTTTTATTTTTTTTAAGGGAATGTAACTGCAATGCTGTTTCCTTTATTTGAACAAAACCTCAACTTGCCTAAAATTTCAGGGAATCGATGAAGCATTCGCTGTTTTATTCATTCTTGATCATTCGAATGTGTTCTTAACTGCCAGTTCATCATAATCACAGTTTCTTAATTATTAATGTGACCTGATAATATTTGGGATGTTCCGTTCCATTCCTTTGCTGCTTAATTTTTGAACTAGTTTCACTTAGTGCTTGGTGGGTCGTGATTACTCATGATTTCTAACACATGAGATGATCTAGCAGGTCTTCAAGAGTGGCCCACTTTTCCTATCTTCGAAAGGTTGGTAAACGTTTCATTTTCTCCATTACTATTTTCTCCTTAAGGCAGTTTTTGTTGGGTTTCCCAAACTTGTTTATTTATTTAGTGACAGTCACTTGGCATTTGTGCGATTACGGTAGTCTTAGACGAACAATTTAGTTTACCTGGAACTGGAAAATTTGCCTTCAGAATGCTATCTTCACAGTGCTCAAGCTTGGCTTCTTTGTACTTTATTGAGCTTGAACTTGGTTTTGGCTAAAAAGAAAGTCAAGCTTGATAGGAGCTCAAGCTGTATTGAGCCAATTTATAGGAATGTGTTGGTCTCTTTCCATAACAAGATCTTCATAAAGCAGTTTTGGTTGGGTTTCCAAACTTGTTTATTTATTTAGTGACAGTCACCAGGTGTTTGACTAATTTCCCCAGCGAAGCAGCAGGTAGGCACGAGTGTTGCTTGTGTGCATCACCTACGTTGCCCTTCCTTTGGGTTTGAGTGACATTTGCTTCCAGCCGCTGTATCGTGTGTGGTTTGACTTGTGTAGTTTGGCTTGCCAGAGCGATGACTTATGAGGAGAGCAGGAAGAGTGTGCATTGAGCTCTATTTGATTTTGATTGTGTCCCCCGCCTCCCTTAACGTTTCAACTGGAATCTAATGTTACGCCTAGCTCACAATCTTGTACGAAGAACGTCATCTAGAACCCCTGCACCCTCACCCTCCTCTCTCAATTTCTCAGTATGTTTGTTGCTTCGAAACACTTTCCCTCAATGCCAACAAGGAGACTGCTCTTTCCAGGAACGTTATTTTTCTTGGGGGTCGAAGGCGTCAAGCACTAGCCTCTCCATATGGAGGCGCAGGAAAGAGATGGGGAAGGAGGGTCTTATCGCGGCTAAGGAGCTCAAGAGGCTCCGCTCCCATCCTCTCCGCCTCGACCAGTTCATACGCTCAAACGTGTCCCGCTTGCTCAAGTCTGATCTTGTAGCTGTTCTCGCCGAGTTCCAGAGACAAGACCAGGTCTTTCTCTCCATGAAGGTTTGTTTTCTTTTTTATTTTTTCGTCTAAATTTCCTATATGATAAATAGAGGATGGAAATGTTAAATTAATCAGTTGTTAGTTTTCTATTGTTTGGAGAAGGGTGTGAGGATTTCTTTCTTATTTTCATTGTGCGTCTGTGATTAATCATGTCTACTATCTATTATCTCGGGTAAGTGGAGATATTCTTCTTGGAATCCAGTGTTTTTGATAAATTTGAATGATTGGGAATCTAGCTAGTTGATACCTTTTTCATTCTTGTACTTGATCCTGTTCTGTGCAAAGGGGACAATACGATTGATGGGTCATTGCGATCTTATTATGATGATTTGTTAGGTTTTAGGAATGCTTTCTTTCCTTTGAAAGAGATTTGGAAGACTTGGTTTACCTGTGAAAGTGGTAATATTTTTGTGGGCAGCTGCTCAGAGTAAAATATTTTTGTTTCATTATTCTTTCAAATTTAGTCAATTGGAGTTTATTTAATATCATCTTCCTTGTGTTTCTCTATAAAAAAAAAAATTCATCTTCTTTGACTTAAGTGTCCCGAGTTTCTGTCTTATTACTACAATCTAGCTGCTATTATGAAGTCTTTTTTAGTTGTTACTTTCCCCTCAGTATCTCAGGAAGAAAGTTTCTGTTCTTATTTTTAGACAAGAGAAGTAAAGTCCTTGAGGTCTTTTTTAAGATTGGTTTGGACTCTACTATTATATGAGTGTATCTTCTTCCATCTTTTTAAGGTGTCCTGCTTCCTTTCTTTATGAAAAATTGTTTTTCTTTTTATCCCAAATTTGGAGTCACCATTTTCGTCTTTGTGAACCTTGGCACCATAAAAGCATATTAGTTAAATTGGATGTGTGAATCTGGAGCCATCATTTCATGTCAAGTGCGCTTCTAATTGTGTACATGTGACCTGGATGTTCGTGATCTAATATTTTGTTGTTATAATTTCCATGTGAATGCTGACAAAGACACATAAATCTTAGAAAACAGAGGGAATGGAAGAAGAAAGCAGTAAGTTGATGAAGAAGGAAAGGTTCTAGTCTGTAGAGGGATATCTTTATCTGTGAAACCTGAAATAGAAACCTGAGAAATGGTTGAACCACCTTCATTGCCAGACTTTCTATTACCTTTATAATCACCATACTTTTCGTTTTTGTTGTTTTTAAAAAATATTTCTTGTTGCCATTAGTTTGTTTTTACAAGACAATTAAGAAAATGGTAAATATTCTAATCGTAGGAACTTACAGTCGGTTGTGACATGGGCAAGATCTATAAGTCACATAGTTATTGTAAATTATTCAGCAATTAAACTCTTTTTGGGTGTGGTGGGTCATCTTTGGGAACCTATCATGAGATTTGTGGCACTATCTAATAGTACGAAGTATGAAAAGATAAATTATTTGTATATATGTTCGGACCACGGTCATATTTCTCTTTATCAAGACATCAAAGAAGCTATCCAAGGGTTTTGCCGAGCCTACTCATATGGATGGGTCACAGGGATTGAGGACATCCCATGGCCACCGGCACCTTGCCTCTTGTAGCATCCCTTAGCTTTAATCCAATATTGGACCTTGGACATATAATAGTTCTGAGTACAATCTCTTTAGATTAAAATTTCATTGAATGAGCTTGCTTGCTTTTACTAACACATTATGTTTTTCAGATATATGATGTGGTGCGTAAAGAAATTTGGTATCGACCAGACATGTTCTTTTACAGGGACATGCTTATGATGCTTGGAAGAAACAAAAAGGTGGATGAAGCAAAGCAGGTTTGGGGAGACCTGAAGAGAGAGGAAGTGCTGTTTGATCAGCATACTTTTGGGGATATTATCAGGGCTTTTCTAGATAATGGATTGCCCTTGGAGGCAATGGAGATATATGATGAAATGAGACAATCTCCTGATCCCCCAATCTCACTGCCTTTTAGAGTAATATTGAAGGGGCTTCTTCCATACCCAGAATTGAGGGAGAAGGTAAAAGATGACTTCTTGGAGCTATTTCCTGATATGATCATCTATGACCCACCCGAAGACTTATTTGAAGATCAAGAATGTAAAAGAGAAAATGAAGATGATTAGATAGTGCTGCTTCCTGATATGATATATGCTCTCTATATGAGAGAATCCTTTCATTTGCAGAAGCTAAATCCATTGGCATGGCTAGATGCAATTTCAGCTGCCTGTCAAGCACGAAACCAGGAGTTAAGTGGGTCTTTTGCAGCGGTTCATTGTGTTGCAATGAATGGCCTAATTCTGGTTCGAAGAATTTGGTGGTGCAAGTTTGGGATGCCATGGGCAGAATTAGATATGCGATCCTAGTTTTTTGTTTTCTTTTTGTGGCTTTTGGGTCCATACAATTTATGTTTTCCTTTTCAAATCACTACAATTTATGTAAATTAAAATAGTTTTCGACTGACCTTGATCACAATTGAGAGCATAGTTTTCGACCAACTTATTAATGACATATCATACTGTGAATCCAAGCAACGGGGACATCATGTTGGTCATGTTGGACTGCTCTGCCTTGGGATTTTGAACTTCAGACGATCTGAAGAATTAATGGTGTCGAAGTTTTGCTTAGCGGTTTACATGATTGGAAAAGCTAAGTGACTCAACCTGTTTTGTTTCCAACTTCCAAACAAGAAACAAATTTTTGCTTAGCGGTTTACATGTCTGCATTCTTTCTGTTGGCTTTAAATTTAATTTTTTGCTTTTTCAACGACTTTAAATTTAATAATTTCTTAATTGGTGATGTAGTAAAACTTTTCCTACTGGCAAAATCTGGAAAGTCATTCGGCAATAAAAAAAAATCTGGAAGCTCCTCGGTTCATAGGATTCCTTTTTAAGACTTGGGGGTTAAGATAAGTACTTCATGAAGAAAGGCAAACTGACAAAGCCAGGAGGACACACTCTGAACCGAGTTACTGAGGATGAATTACTTTCAGAACATAAACAAGGAGAGAGAGAGAGAGAGAGAGAGACTCAGGTGCTTGCTGCTCAACTTGGGCTTCCATATTTATTGATCTCAAGCAATTTGGGGGTCACAGAGACTGGTGCGATTGGACCACTATTTCTAGCTTCTAGTTTAACAGGTATTTTTTACTCTATGCAAGTTATATTTGCACCACTATTCCCCATCATATTTTTTTGGGTTGTGAATTATAGTATGATTGATGGAGTTTACTACAATTACTACTTTTTATTTTTATTTTTTTATAAAATCGATATTCTACTTTAATCTACGAGAAGGGGGATTCGAACTCAGGTGCAAAGTGGGGAGCACATCCACTCTAGCCAACTTGGCTAAGTCCATGTCTGCCAATTACTACTATCATTAATTCTATAATTTGAGAATTCTAAAATATAACGTCATAACTGGTAATATATATGATAATATTGATGGATAATGTTCTGGGAAATAGCTCTAAATGCCACCCTTTTTATAATTTTAACTGAAAATACCACCTCTCCCCAAAATTTTTGGAACTATCACCTATAAATATATATTTATTGTCCACTTATTGCACACACCACTTTTGCTGAAGTTCTCTCTCAGCTCTCTCTTGGCTCCATCTCTCACTCAAGGATTAAAATATCGGCCGTGCAGATAATATCGGGCCTCCAATTTACGGATATTTCGGGGGATATATCGTTATCGTTTTAGGTATCGGGAAAAAATCAACAAAAATGATAAATATAGGCATTTAAACACATAATTTTAGTGTAAAACTTTCATAGATGTTATGTATATTATCAATGAATGTATTGAACAAAGGGAAAAAATCAACAAAAATGATAGATATAGGCATTGAAACACATAATTTTAGTGTAAAACTTTCATAGATGTTATGTATATTATCAATGAATGTATTGAACAAATAAAACTCAAAATTTACTAATAATAAGATAAACATATGATGAAATATAAGTGGTATGTAATGCGCGTTAATGAAAAGTTTGAAAATAAAATGTTGATTAGAATGAATAAACCATGCATAAATCCATAGTTTGCTTAAACATTGGATTACAATTTAGATAAGTGTCCATCTACAAATATGAAGAGCTCCTATGAGGTTCAAACAATGAGGAACAAGTATCTAGATTCATATAATAGTCATACCAAGTCATGTAACCCGAGCAGTTTGTAAGCCATGTTTGAACATGGTGCACATAGGCCTCTTTTGAGCTCCCTACACAATTTAGATAAGTGTCCATCTACAAATATGAAGAGCTCCTATGAGGTTCAAACAATGAGGAACAAGTATCTAGATTCATATAATAGTCATACCAAGTCATGTAACCCGAGCAGTTTGTAAGCCATGTTTGAACATGGTGCACATAGGCCTCTCTTGAGCTCCCTATTGTCCTCCCATATATGGGATAGTTAGGATTAACCCAACTAGTAGGTCCATAATCTGTTTCATCATCTTGAGCTCCATAACTAGTTACACTATAATCAGACATGACATAACTGTATCCATCATAAGATTCATTTGAGTTAGTACTAGGTCTAGTTCCTATGCTCATATATCCAAAATTGATCGTTATGTCCTCTTCAGATGGATTGGAGGTATGTGGGCAGTGGACTGTGCATAGATTCTTCATATTAATAAATATAGGGTTCTGGGCAAGGATGAGCTATTTTTGGGTTTCAATTTGCTTCAATTGCCTTCAAAACTTCTAAATTTTTTTTGGATTCTGTTATGGATATCGGGAAATATCGGGAAATATCGGGGATATCGGCAAAATATCGGGGATATCGCACTTATCGGGGATATATCGTCGATATAGGGGAAGATATGGCCTTACCCCCCAATATCGGTGTCGACAGTTGAAAATACCGATATATCGGCAGATATATCGGTGTATCGGCCGATATTTCAATCCTTGCTCTCACTTTCTCTTCACTCTCTCGTCGCTCAGCTCTCTCTCTCTCTCTCTTCTCTCTTCCTCTCCCAGTGGAATCTGTTCATCGAAGCTCAACTCCATCGTTCACCTCCAACAGGTACTGTTCATCGTCATTTTCTTACAGTTTAGGGGTTTCTTTGAAGTTGGTTTAGGGTTTATGGGTTTCTATGAAATTGGTTTAGGGGTTTGTTCGAAATTGATTTAGGGTTTAGGGGTTTCTCTAAAATGGGTTTAGGGGTTTCACTGAAATTGGTTGTGGGGTTTCTCTGAAATTATCTTATTATGATGATTCCTTGTTTGAAACAGTGAATGGGTTTGTTCTTTGTGGATTGATGCTTGCACTGCTGTTGTTTTGTTGTTGCTATTGATGTCGTGTTGATGTTTTTTTGCTGGTGTATTGCTAATTTAGTGATGTTGTATTGGCATTTTAGTGCTATTGTATTTCTAGTTTATTATGATTTTATTATGGTTTTTGTAGCAGTTATTAATTGATATTTGGTGGCTTACTATGGGTCTTTATGACCATTGTAGTTGTAGCTCAGCTCTCTCTCTCTCTCTCTCTCTCTCTCTCTCTCTCGTGCAGTTGTATCCCTCTCGCACAGCTCTCTCTCTCTAGCGCTCTCTATTCTGAATTGTCCCCATCTCTCTGTTTTGAATCGGGAAACCCCCCATCGACCCCATCTTCTAGGTATATCTTTTGAATAACGTAAGGTTGCAGCTGCTTGAAACCTTGAAGCTCTACTCCACTGTCAACCTCCAATAGGTAGTCTTGATGGTCATTTTCTTAATCTCTATGGGATTCTATGAAATTGGTTTTATTTTGATTGCTTGGGTCTAAAATATCGATGATATCGGAAATATCGGTAGTCCAAAAACACGGAAATTTGGATGGAAATATCGGGATATTATCGATATCGATAAAAATTGAATAAAAACCACGGAAATTGTAAGAAAAACTTGGAAATTTTTATTGAAACTTTGGAGAATGTTTATTTAGTCAATTATCTATTAGTTTATCACTGTGAGTGTAGAAAAGTTGATTATACAGCGAGCTGGCAAACACTGTGAGTGTAGAAAATATGTAGTAATTAATGAAAAAAGATTAAACACACCATAATCATTTATATATAATGATTTACTACAATATTTTACACTTTATATATACATTGCATGGTAAGATACATGAGTAACTTAGTACCATATAGAGTTCCTATGAGGTTCAAATTTTTCACTATCTTCATTATCTCTATGTGTAGAGTAAGAGTATTGTGAAGAGTAGTCATCAAATGATAAATCCCCAAAATAGTTTTGCATGTAATTGTTAACATGCCACTCATATAAATATAAATATTTTAGCATATTATCACAAAAACATAAGTGATATGGTTGTTAAGGTGTTGGAGGAGTAAATGGGAGGGGTTCAAATCCCCTTTGTGTTTTTTTTCTCCCTTCCCCCCCCCACCCCCCGCACCCTTTTTGTTTTTCTTTTTCCTTTACATTGATATTTTCGATATTTTAGCGATATTACACCGATATTTTGACAAAAATATTGATGAAGTGTGAGCGAAATTATCGACATCGATATTTTCCGATATTATCGTCGATATTGTCGATATTTATACGATATGTACATGGATATGTTCCGAAAGATTCGTGATTCGAAAAAATCAAAATGTCCTCGATATTTCGTCAATATTATCGATATTTCATACTATGGTGAAATTAAATTGCTTTGGGTAATGTTTTTTTGAATCTTCATGCTCATTCATCTGGGTTTTTACCAAATGCATTTAGATTGCTCTGGATATGTGAATAATGAAACTTGGGATTTTCCATTTGATGTAGTAGATTTGTATAGTCTAATTGTGATGAATCCTTGTTCAGTGTTGTGTTATTGTTGTTTTATTGTTGTTGTGTTGCTATTGTGTTGCTATTATATTGTTGTTGTATTGCCATTGTATTGCCTGGTTATTGTGGTTGTGTTAGACCACAATGCATCCAAATACTTTAAGATTAGTATACTCAATAGATTTATTAGACCATACCTCTTCCGCACACTTGAAATCAAGATACTTTGATGATGACTAGTTAACCAAAGAGGAAGCGTGGTTAATCGCCTTTGCCTAAAACGCCTCGGGCAAGCCAGCATGAATCCTCATGCACCTCTCACACTCCATGAGAGTTCTTTTCAATCTCTTCGTGGCTCCATTTTGTTGGGGCGACTTCTTCACGGTAAAATTCCTCTTGACACCATCTCTCTTGAAAAACTCCAGAAATTTGTTATCTTTATATTCTTCTCCATTGTCACTTCTTACAATCTTAATCTTCCTTCGCGTAAGGTTCTTTACTTTCTCCTTCCACTCCTTGAATTTGGTGAAGACCTCAGATTTCTCATTCATGAAATAGACCCAAACCTTCCTAGAAAAATCATCCAAGAATGTGACGTAGTAGCGAGCTCCTCCCAATGATTTGATGGGTGCGGGACCCTACACATCCGAGTGAATATAATCAAGCACTCTTGTGCTCCTATTCTCCTTGTCTTGTTGCTTAAATGTCACCTTCGACTGCTTCCCCATGGTACAATATTGTGCAACTCTTGCATTGCTCGCTCACTCAGCCTCAAATGCCAAAGCTAAGTATCATCCACT